TCGTAGAACGAGTTTCCGACACACCAATGGTCATACAAGCCCGGAGTCCTGATGCCCAGAAACCACGGCATGTAGTGTACGACGTACTTGGTGCGCGGCGCTGCACCGCCGGACGAAGGAGCAGAAGTGTCGCCTGGCCGGCGCAAGCAAACTGAGCTGCTCCTGAAGCACACGACAGGCTGCATTCAACAACCGTCTGACGGAAGCAAGAGCCCTCCTCTCCCCCTAAACCCTAAACCCTAAACTCTAAACCCCCTTTGCTGCACTTGCTCCTCTGTGCTGTTGCGCCGATACCCTCTGGCCGCGTCCAGAGCTCACAGTGGCCGGTCCGGTACTCGATGCCCTTGCAGATCGTCAGCTCAAGGCAGCGTTCCTTGTGGAGGGGAAGGTACAGGAGCTATCCCTAAGCCCCCAGGTACCTGTTATATAGGTTACTAGAGCCCCTAGGGCCCTTTATAGTAGGCACCTGGGGGGTTAGGGTATAATCGTGCAGCTAAGCTCAAAGAGCTGTAGCAGCTCTGTACGGTGGTTTATCAGTATCCGCAACGCATACTGATTTCCCCCCCCCCCACCCCCATGCAAGCCCGGTACCCCGTATGCATGAATCTTCCCGGGACGAAGTCTCCTGGCATCGAGCAAGAGACCTCGCATGTGCGACGGAGAAGTAGCCAGGAGAGTCGTCGTCCCAGTCTGCGCCGCGGCACTCGCGATCAACTGCACCGCCCACCACTTCCTTAGATGCATGCCGGGTAGTTTCCGTAGAGCACGCCCGGGCATCTAAGACGACTACAAAGGAATCGCAGCAGAGCATCCCAGGTCGAGGCAGCAATTTCCGCAAAGAGCTCTTGCCTCAGCTCACACGAGACACTCGAAGTCGCAGCGGTGCCATGGTGAGACGAGACTTCGCTTGAGCACCTGGCCTCGTGGGGCTGCTGAGCTGGAAGCACTGGAAGCCGACCACGGCAGCAGAGGCCAGGATGCCTCCAGACCTGACAACACGTGATACGTGCTACGGCTCAGCCTCAGCCGGCCCACAAAGCCCGAGAGGAGGCCGGCAACAGGCTTTGACGTCAGGCTTTCTGCTGAGATCAGAGCCTGGTCCACACCTCGCAACGGCCATCAGAGTACTCCATCCCCACGCACGCCTGTCTTGCCCAGTGCACTCAGGTAGGCACACAACATCTCTGGGAAGTTCTCTCTCCTAGTGATCCCTCGACGAGAAGTGGTGTGGTCGCACGCGACTTGGGGCGAAGGATGCAACTCTGCGGCTATCCGTCACTTCTGGCCTCCATCTGCGCGCATCGGTCTTTGCAGTCTGCCAGCGAGGTCTCGGGGAAGACTACCTGAGGGTTTTTAGGGTTTAGGGTTTAGGGTTTAGGGTACCTGCAGCTTGCAGGCGCCTCAAGTCCTAACCGGACTGACAGCTGCATGTACCCAGAGACTCCCACACCCAGTAATTAAGGAATATACCTTAAATCATACCAGGGTTCCTATTAGAGTTTAAGGTATGATCCTAGAGACTCCAAAACCACTTAATTAAGGAATATAGCCTTAAATCATACCAGGGTTCCTATTAGAGTTATAGTTAAGGTATGATCCTCCATTAAGGGGTTTTGGAGTCTCCTGGTTATTGCTTGCGCAGGCGCATAGTAATCTGGCGAGTTGTCCGTGGCGCCGGCGCCACGGCAGGCCCGATCGCTTCCGCCGTCCACCGGATGAAAAGCCAGAGCCTGGAGCTGCTGCACTGCACTTTAAGACTCGCCCTTTCTGCGCTGGGTTTTGGGGCCCTTGATGCTATACCTATATTATAAGCATAGTATAAAGGATAAGGAATCCCCAGAATAGTATTGGCAATTATATGCAGGCCCCTATATTACGGCGGCTACGGTACGGCCTGCAGGCATTGGTAGTTGGCCAGCTCGAAGGACGCTTCGATGCCGGCACGTCGGGTCCAGACCTCACAGCGGGTGTTGATGAACTCGATACCTGGGCTTTGCAGTAACCAGGGAGAAAAAAAGTATAGACTTCTATTTTGTAGTGGTTCCTTGAAGGAACAGGTCCCCAACAAAAAGTATTAAAGTATGGTTTTCCAAAGCCCAGATACCCACACAGCCCGTCGTCTCGCGGCAACGGCTCTTGCAGTCCTGCCCACAGCGGAAGGGGAAAGGAGGAAGTTCTGGAGCATAGAACAGACGTGGCGCAGTGTCACGTGCACCCCCGCCCCCCTGACGCGGTATGGCTCCTCCTTGCCCCGGCACACCCGAGAATGCCAACAGCGGCACGTCTGCATGTACTTATGTATGCACCGTATCCGCACACATGCGTACATAAGGATGCCCACATGCATGCGCACCTACGCCACCTGTGCTGACGTAAACATCTGCTCACTCACTCACTCAGTCACAGACACACACCCACACACACACACACACACACACACGCACGGACGGGCGGAAGAGCGGTCACACACGCTCAGAATTGCTTCATGGATTGTCATGCCACGGGAGGGCTGACGTCGGGGATCACACACGTAACGACGTAGTCCCAGCTACAGCCTTTCGTTTTCCATTGGGACGGTCCACCCTTCGAGCCGGTGCAAGCTGGACAAAGGAGCCCTAGGACCGCGGTCCTCCAAACCTGTGACTGTGAAGACCTGGAAGTAGCTCTCAGAATTATCATTGGCATCAGCTCCACGGCAGGCACGATTCATTCCACCGTCCATAGCCCGAAAGACTAGATCCAAAGGCTGTGAGGCATCAATCGGCGGTGCATCGAGAGAGCTCACCGTAGTCGATGCAGTCGACGTGGCAGTGACCGTCTGGCTTGTCGCCGTTGCCGTGGCTGTCGTCGTTGCTGCAACGGTTGTCGCCAACTGTGCGACTCGAAAGCACTTGAATCCTGGAAGTGCCAACGATGATTCCTTTGGGGCGGAGTACCCTAGACCGGTTTAGGGTTTAGGGTTTAGGGTTTAGGGTTTAGGGTTTAGGGTTTTTGAATTATAGTAGGAATATAAGAGCCCCAAAAGGTTAAAGGTTACCTACTCAGCCACCAAGGTTCGATGCCCTCGCCCCGGACCCAAACCTCGCATCTTCCAAAGGAGTACCTGGGCTTTGAAGTAACCAGGGAAAAACTCTCTTCTTCAACAACCAGGCCCAAAAAAGTTCAAACTTTTTAGGATAGACCTAATATATAAAGCCAAAAAGTTTAAAGTTCTCCCATTGGCCATCTAAGAAAAAGTATAGACTTTTCTGTCATAATGGTTCCGTTAAGGAACAGGTCCCAAAAAAATATTAAAGTATGGTACCCCAAAGCCCAGGTACTCAATACCCCTGCACTCAGGAGTTGCAATGCACTGCCGCTCGCAGTCATCCAGTACAGAATGGGGGTGGACAACATAGTGGGCCGGGTTGTTGTCGTTGGGGTTCGCCCCTCTGCAAGCTCTGTCATCACCACCATCCACCGGCTCCAGTTCGGCCACACGGCGGTAGCAATCGGCAGTTTGAAAATAGATTGATGCTTGAATACCAGCCATCCTGGTCCACAGTTCACAGCGCCAGTTGGAAGGATGGTACTCCACACCTTGGCAGGTATCCATCTTCATACACTGCCATTGGCAGAAGGTCAAATCTGAGGCCGAGCTCAGCTGGAAGTTCAAGGGCGAGTTGTCGTCGGCGTTGGCTCCGCGGCACGCTCTCGAGATACCGCCGTCCACCGGCTCGAACAGCAGTGTGCCCAGCTGGCTGAGCTGCACAGCGCTCTCACCACTGCCTCGTAGCATTGGCTGATGTGGGAAGAACCAGCATGCAGCTGCAATCAGTCCACAAACCACGACCAAACTTGGAAAGAAATGACGTACATGGCGTCCCACACTCCCTTCGGCAAACTGCGAGACGTGGAGGAGTGGCTGCTCTCCTTTGCCAACATCAGAATCAGAACCATCTGAGAGCCGCGGCTCCTCGCTCTCCATTGAGCAGTGCATGAGTCTCGTGCTCAGGCAAGTAGGCTCAACAGACTTCCAACTGCTGTGTCTTTGCTACCAAACCTGCTGCGGAATGCAAGAGTACACATGCTTCTGGACGGAGCCCCATGATCTGTCACAGTGCCAGACTTGTTCTAGACCTCCCGAAAAGGACACGACCGTTGAGAACAGCGCCCTTGACGGTTTTAGGCCAACTCCCAAGATCCGGAGAAACCGGCTCGAGCTGGTGCCTCGCCGGCATCCACCTCGTCGGCTCGAAGCTTTGCATGTTCTTTTGGGTTTAGGGTTTAGGGTTTAGGGCGTCCACCATCGAGAGCCGCTAGCAGCAAGCATACTAGCAAGCAGCAACTACTGGATTTACTACCGGTAGTCGTGGCACCACCGCCAGCAATGACGACGAAGTGTGTCTCTACCGCCGCTCTGATTGCTTGCTCCTTGACATAAGCACCATGATTAGCACCGTGAGCGCCAATATGTTAATTGAACTGCAGCAGTCGTAATTGCATTAGAACTGGAGACGTAAGTATGCTCGTCTTGTGGGATTCGGCTGGCCTGAAAAGTATAGGGGTTACGTCAAAGACTTGCTGAAGCTTTGATGTGGGATCATGCTGGGGGAGGGGGGAACCCTAAACCGTAAACCCTAAATCCTAAACCCTAAACCCTAAATCCTAAACCCTAAATCCTAAACCCTAAAGCCTAAATCCTAAACCTAAACCCTTAAACCCTAAACCCTAAATCATGGTTGCCATTTTCTTCTTGCTTGTCGCTTTCAACGTCCCAGGGCCCTAGACCTCGAACCCGCGGCCTGCAGCCGCACGCCCGAAGACTAAGACCCGTCAGCGTACAAGATTCGGGATTGGGGTTTAGGGTTTTTTTTTTTTTTTAAGGGCTCTTTTCCGTCTGCTCGCGTCAGAGCTCAAGAATCCCAGTTCAGGGAGAGCTGTTATGACGTGCCACATATGGCACAAACCTAAAGAAACCCTCTCAGTGGTTGCCCAGCTCGCTCACAGTGTTGCCCTTTTCACTCCCCCTCCGACTCTACCTCAGGCGAGGTCGTATCATCCAAGCTGACGTCCTGCTGAACCCACTCATCAAAGGATTCAATGTCAATCAGCAGGCCCACCCCCTCATCCATGACCAGCGTAGCGGAAGAGGTCGTGGACGTCGTTGGAGACGGAGAAGCCCCCTGGAGCAGCACCTGCGTACTCTGCATATCCTCCGCATCTACGATGTGCTGAGCTTCCATAAGATCAAGTAGGTCATTCCCACCCTTGAGCACGACGGCCTCATTGGTGATGGCTCCACACTTCCACTGCTCATAGAGACACTCGTAGTCTGCGAACTCAAGCTTCTGAAGGCCACCGCCATCTCCACCAGTGTCAGTGTCCACATCAAGCTGAGTACTCTCCCGGGCCCCGGTTTCACCAGCCAGGACGACAGGCGGCTCACCGTCCGAGCCAGGTGTCGTTGGCATGCGCTCCAGGTCCGTGCAAGGCGTCACACCTGTGCCTTGCTCTCCAGCAGGCTGCGGTTGGCCAGGCACGATGTAGGTCTCCACATCCTCTGGGCACTCCTCCGTCTCGAGGTGCATGTCCAGGCGCAGGGAAGGCAACCGATCCCCACTGCCACAAGGCAGCCGCAGTTGCTTGCTGAGCCATGGTCCTCCATCACCCATCGTCCCGCCAACGGAGATCACGAGTGATCGTCTCTTCCGGTCCTGGGGAGGTTTCTCCATGATCTTAGCCCACTCCCAGTCCTCCCAGGCCCTAAATTCCTGGGCTGAGAGATGACGTTGTACCCCCGAGTCGCCCGTCAGCAGGTTCTGCTGGTGCTGCAGGTAGGCCTGGTCTCTCATTTCCTGGTCCTCCTGCTCCAGAGCCTGCCGTCGTAGAAGCTGCTCCCGCTCATCTCTGGCATTAGCTTCCTCTGCTGCCATGTCCTGGATGTCTGCGTCCGTCATGTCTCGCTCCGGGCATGGTCTCCGGATCCCGGTTTGGTTTCCGGAACCCCGTGCTGCTCCCTCCGGCGATCCAAACAAGCTTCCCCACCAAGCCAGTTGCCACTGGATGTCACCGCCCGCGACTTCCTGACACGTCTCTTCTTGCATGGCCACCAAGACGGCGACCAGATCCTCTCGTTGTTGCTCTTGCACTTCCTGCGTCCGATGAAGTCGCGCCAAGAGCGCCTCCGCATTGGCATTGCGTTCTGCTGGCGATTGTCCTCCCAAGGCTTCTTGCAGCCCACGAAGACGCGCGAACCAGGAGTCCCGAGGGTCATGGCGCCCAGCCGAAAACCGGCCAGGCGCTGTTGTTTGCACAAACGAAGAGCCATCACCATCTTCATCGGGATGTGCTTCATGCTCCACCTCGACGTCCACCAGAACCTCCGACCTTCGTCTGGCCTCCCCAGCGGCAACCCCTCTTTCGAAGGCCTGCATCACTTCCACCATGAGGAGCCTGAGGAAGCGAAGGAAGGCGGTGGTGAGTATCGCCCTATCGTGCATGTTATAGTTGGCAATGCTCTCGGTGATCATCTCAGACGAGTACTCGGGAAGAAGGGCCCGCCCCGCCGGGATGACATCAATCCCTTCCTCAAAGGACTGTGTGTCCATGCCAAGCAGAAAGCGCCACGCGTCCACTGCATGGTCCTCCTGAAGCCTTGCTGTTTCTGCCGCCGTCGGAGTGGCACCCGCAGCCGGCGCTGGATCAGTTGACCCGGAGCCTCTCTCTCTCGGCGGTCGTCTCGGCAACGGTTGCAAGCGTCTCACCTCCTCAGTCACACACACCTTGGGCTGAGGTCTCGCCTTGGCCTTGGGTCGTCGCTCCGCAGTGGAGTCGCTCGGTCGCTTGAGCCACCTTGGATTGATGCGATCTCGGTCGTCACGACCATCATCCCTGCTGTCATCCCCCTCTCTGTCCCACGAGTCTCCTCGTCCGCGGTGAACTCGTCGACCGTGCTCCATGAGACCGCTCTCGTCACTGTCGTCACTGCGAGCGGGAGGCTCCGGGAAGTGGCGTTGAGGTGTCCGCGATCGAGACCAGGAAAGGCCTCGCCTCTCCCTTGCCTCATCGTTGTAGTTGTGCCGTGGACACCTGGTGTCGGGATACCCCTCATTTGCGAGATCTCGTTCCAGCTCCCTGTTGAGCATGGCAACGGGGCAGGTCCTCCTGAACCACTGGAATCGGACGAGACTAACCGTCTCTCGGCACCATCTATCAAGTTCTCTGTCTCCCGGAACAGCTCTTGCATCCCTGCGCCACTGCAGTTCACCTTCCTCGTGTGCTGCTTGAATAACCCCATTGATCCACCTGAAGGCCTCCCTCGCAAAGCGGTCGTCCTCCACCGCCTGCAACTGGGCCAGCAACCTGCGTCCCACTTCCACGGGATCTGCGCCTCTACGGACCAGGAGGATCCCTTCTGCGTGGATGTGCCTGTACCAGAGAGGTCCATTGTCCGCATCGGGCAGGACGTCAACGGTCCGGCACAAGGGAATCATCACCATCCACAGACCCATCAAGGACTGCGAGTCCGCCTCTGCTTCCCCATCATTTCCATCCCGCCTGGGAGATCGCGACCTTGGTCTTGTGTCCGTGGACGCTCGCGGCTCTGCATAATCGTAGCCCTCGAAACCCATAGCCGTCATGTCCCCGGCAGTAGACCAGCTTCCATCTGGCCAAACGTGCGCTGCGTGAAATATCCCGAAGGGCAGCTCTTCCGAAGAGGAGGCCGCCTGATGCCTCCGCGGAGGCAGCCTCGGTGGACTCTCGCGGGGTGGTTCCGGGTCTCGAGCAGCCCTCTCTTGCCAGCCCGTCATCACGTCGGCGACCCAACTCTCCACATCCGTGAGATCCCCTTCGTAGTGGGGGTCGAGGTCGTCATCAGATCTGCCGAGGATGTCCGGAAGTGTCTGTCCAGCACTCACCTGCACTGAGTCCCCGCAAGGGCGCAGACGTTCACGAAGGGCCTGCCTAGCCTCCTTGCCAAAGCCATTTGCTCGCAAGCGCAGGTATTGTTGCCGCACTCGCCGAAGCCACGCCATGTGGCCATCCTCCGGGTTCGGATCGGCGGGCCTCCCCACTTCCCTTGTTGCGAGCGATGTAGAGGTGAGGGTGGTCTGTTCCTCCTGTGCGAAGATCTGCCACAGCAGCCCATCCACGTGCCTGGCCCACAAGGCAAAGAGCCTTGGTGAGGTTTCCGCCGAAGGCCGTCCATCACATCCCGGTATGCCCTGACTGAAGCGGAGCAGTTCCTGGATGGCCCATGTCTGGTACCCCTCATGGTCTCGGTTCTGAATGCAAGGCACTGCCATTCCCACTGCCTCATGCACTGCGAGACCTTGTTCAAACCAGCCCCAGAACTCCTCCATCAGGTCCTCCCACGTGATCTCCCTTTGTCCCTGTCGAAGCACCACACTGCCCTGAAAGAAACTGATCCCTTGCTCCGAGGTTTCTTGGATGTGGGGGCCATCGGTATCCGTGGGGACATACACGAGGCAACTTTGGCATCTCTGCCGTCGCTGGAACAGCACCCTCTGGCGGACCAAATCAGACACCTGTTCATCATTCTCCCGAGTCGCGCAACCGGCGAGGTTTGCTGGGTCGTGCTTCCGCCCACCTTGGTGATCTTGCGGGGAATCGTGTGGAACATGGCGGAGAGCATCGCGGGCGTCAAGCGCACGCTGCAAAAGGCAGCCATTCGGAGGGTCCTGTGCTTCACTGGAGCGCGCCGGCTGTACCCTTTCTCGGAGAAGATCATTCACCTGCTCAAAATCCTCCCGAATCGCGTAACCGACGAGGTTCGCGGGGTCGTGCTTCCGCCCAGCTTGATGATCTTGCGGGGAATCGTGCGGAACATGGTGGGAAGCATCAGCGGCATTCACTGTGCGCTGCAAAAGGCAGCTGTGCGACGGATCCAGGGATCCACTCAGGCACGCCGTCACGGCGGCAACATATGAAAAACATGAAAGACACCTAAGGGTCATATGGAGATGCTCAGTTGAGCAGGGCGAGAGTAGCTACATCTACTTCGATCGCTGTGAGTCCGGCCATGCATGACAGCTTTCACAAGACAGCAATGGCAGACGAACCTACCTACCGGAAAACGGTGCCCCTGTACAGCTCCACAATCGATTGTCACTTTGTACGACGACCCCTACCATTAATTACCATACTCAAGCGACGGTTGTCTCCCCGTGGCCCACGGAATATCTTCCCTGTGTACCCACCTGTCCTCCTGGGCCTTCCACCGGCTTCTGTCTCTTGCGACCTCTCTCCATACCCCTTGAGCTGCCGTGTCCATCTTCGTCTCGGTGAGCATAAGCCTCGCGTAGTGATGGACGTGTTTCAACCCTGACGGATTCTTCTTTTCGACCTCCCACCACCTCTTATCCCGAAACCCATCGAGAACCGAGCTAACCACCGGGTGTTGTCGATCAAGCCCTCTCGCTCGGTGGCCCGAAAACCGCCAATAAGCCCTCAACCATGTCGTAGACCATCTCTCTTCGTTGGACCGGAACAGAGCTGCTCTCGCCGCTCTCCATGCTCTCTGGCGAAAGGCACCCCAATCCTCACCCCTGTTCCGAGAGATCCTCATCATCCACACAATGAGTTGAAGTTGCACGGAGTTAAGGTACCCCATGGCTCCGGCATCCGGAGCAATTGCGCTGAGGCACCACAAGGCCGCTTGGCCTGCTGTGCGTTGCATTGTGGATATCCGCCTGCTAAGCCCCCCTTTTGCTCGAAGAACATGTTGGATCTCCCAAAAGCGATTCCTTGCCCTCGTTGCAAGTGCCGTCGCAATTTCCATGGTAGTCCCCCCAACCCTGAACTGGAGGCCCATGACCTCGAGCGCCGGTGATGCCGAAAGGTCCTGTCCATCGAGCCTCAACCTGTGGGGTCCTTTGCATCGAGGCCCACAATACATCTGACACTTGCTCATATTGATGGTAAGGCCAAAAGCACGAAGGTGTGTGGAGTATTCGGCAAGCTTCTGTTGCATGGCATGTACCCCTTTACTCCAGAGGCAACCATCATCCATGAACAAACATTCCTCCTCCCCCATCCCCTGGAAAAGTTTGTCCCTGGCATCCCATCTGCATCGCACCTTGGCATCCTCCAGGGCCAGTTCTGCCACGAAACCAAACATTGACGGGCTTTCAACGGCACCTTGCTTAATACCAGACGGCATATCAAGCTTAGACATCCCCCATGGGGTTTGGAGGGTCCCAGCCACATCCGTCATAAGCGCAGCCCAGCACCCCATTTCGGCACAGGAGCCCATTTGCTCGGACAACCTTCGCAGGAGCACCGACCGATCAACACAGTCAAACGCCTTGTTCAAGTCAACCTTTACCATGCACAATTGAGAGCCCCATTCCCTGGTCAACTCAAAAATGCGATGTACGCTGAAAAGAAAATCAGCAGTTTGACGGTGCGGTGCAGCACACTGGGACGCCGTTCGGGGGGAGAGAGCGCTTGCGGTCCGAGTCAAGAGCATCCTTGCAAAGAGCTTGCCTACTGCGCTCCCCATTGCAATCGGCCGAAGTTGTTTGCATCGGGTTGGCATCGCCACTTTTGGAAGCATAACGAGCAAAGGCTCATTCCATTGTTGTGGAACCTCTTGCCTGACCAACACCCTGTTGAACCATTCGAGCATGTGCTGTTCACCGCCAGGGGCCTCCATGATACCAACTAGCAACTCACGTGACGTGAGGTCGCACCCGACCGCTTTGTGCGCTTTCAAAAGGGTCATGGCATCTCTCATCTCCTCCACAGAGAAGCATGACACCTCGCCCCTGTGTTTGTAAAGCTCCTTGTCCGGCTGCTCCCCAGCATACACCCCTTCCAAATGCTTGTGGACCATCTCATGAGGATCACCCTGCTGTGCTTCAGCGAAAGCGTCATCCCACCCGGCATTTCGTTTAGGCCTACACGATCTGCGCGCCTGCCAGTCTCCCTCACTTGCTCTCTTCAATCTGTCCGCCTCCCATACCTTCCGAGCACCCTTCCTCATGTTGAGAGCCTTCTTCCACGCCTCACCCGTCTTGGAGACTTTGGCACGCTTAAAGGCTTGTTTCACCTCATCGGGGTCCCTGTAGCCACTCCCCGGTCTCGGTTTGGTACACTCTCTCGCCATCTTCTCGACAATCTGCTGGTCCATGTCTGTAATTACACCGCGAAACCCTGTCCACACCCTCGGTCTTGTGTTGCTCCGCTCAATGACCCTTGGCATACGCAACGTGAAGATAGCACTGAGAGACTCATGATCCGACCCCGTGCGATAGCATGAATCCACGTGTATGGTTGACTGCCCTCTGCGGATTCCACAACACAACAGGTAGTCGATCTGCTTCCCGGTTCGCCCCTCCTGACGTGGTCGACTAGTTGGTGTATCCCACTGGGCCCTGGAAGGCGGGACGAAATCGAGCCCAGCCGCCACCGCGTACCTTGCCAAAATGTCGGCCTTGCCGTCTCGCCCTGTTGCTTCGACCCTCTCACCCTCCCTTACCCATCTGAAACTGCTGTTGAGGTCTGCCTGGAAAATGACCGTAGGAGACCTGGCCGGCTTGTGCTTAAAGTGTTCCTCCACTTCTCCCTCGTACTCGCCCTGTGTGACCCCTGGACTGAAGTGTGCGCTGCTGACCCAAATGGACTGTCCACTGCTAAGGTGTCGAAGGTGGACCCATACCCCACGACCAGTGCTCCGTCTACTAATGACGTTCCACACCGTCGCGTCAAAGGCCACCCCAATACCTCTCCACATGTCCTTGTCCCTATAGGTCACCACTTTGAAACCAGAGATTGTAACACTGCTCCATCCCGCCTTGCTTCGAGGGAACTCCTGCAACACAATAAGGTCTCCTTTTTCCAGGCCTCCGTCAGTGCAATCCCGAAGTGCCTTCGGCACTTCACAGAAGTCAGCCCCTCCGATGTTCCAGCCGTACACTGCGAAGCTCATGTCACCAGCATTCAGCCGACTTGCCTGGCCTTCCCGCGGTGGTCAGTGTGTACCGTCGAAAGCAGCCCTGACCCTTGCTTCCGGAACAGTCAGATCCTCGGAGAGAGCCTTGATGTTCACCCATGCCTTGGTATCGAGGTCGGTCCTAATGATCACGTTCCCCGGATCCACCCCCGGCGGGGGGGGGCATCGCCGAGCTCGCAACGAGCCGCTGAGAGGTCCAGACGTTCCCTTGGTTCCATTCCACTTCAAGGTCTGGTAGCTTGCTCTCGTCGATCCCGGCAATCCCTTTTTTAACCCACGAGGCATGAGAGCTGTGCATCCTTTCCAAGCGGCTCTTGGACCAGTTGCACCACAGCTTCCGCCCTTGAACACCCAAGACCTCGGCTTCTGCGAAGGCACGGATGACCTGCTGCATCCTCGCTCGCATGTGGCCGTAGGATTCCCCTCGCCTTTCCGCGAAAGAAGCCAATGCCATGCTCCTGCGAACCCCCGTCGTGAAGGGAGGCGCATCCAAGAGGCCTTCCACATCCAACTTAGACAGGGCAGTCTTGAGCTCAGACAACAAATCTCCACGCCTGGTCTCCCTGGCCCACCCGCCGAAGATGAGCGTTCGCTGCCGCCTTGCCTGGTCATCATTCTCAACCCTGCCGCTCGAGACCGATCCTTCGCCCTGAAGGAGCTGACCTAGTTTGGCCTCCATGTTTCCCAGCTTGCGCTCAAGGTCAGAAACCCTCTCGTTCGTCTTGCCAACCTTCTCATCGACCACCGCCTCGAAGCGCGCTGCAGCACGTGTAACAGCACTATCCTGAGCTTGAAGCAGCTGAGCAGTCTGCTGGCTCAGCATCGCCTGCAGCTCTTCCGCCGTCACACTCGCGGCCACCGTCCCCCCAGTTCTGGGCGCCTTTTGCGGACTGAGCCCCTCATTGTCATCCGGCACTCGTTTCTGCTGCGCCAGGTCAATCTGCTTCTTCGACATGTCGCCAGCACAAAGCCCCGAATCGTGTAGAAGCCCTTGAACCGGGTCGGGTAGCCGGGAGACGCCTGCAGGTCCTGGGTCCGCCGAGCACCGCGGTGGAGCGGAGAATCGGTCCCTCGGCGACGACGAGGCAAACGCCGCAAACCAACCCCCGAAAGGAAAGACGACCCCCCCACCTTGAGCCAAAATGGCTTGAGCCTTAGGGTTTAGGGTTTAGGGTTTAGGGTTTAGGGTTTAGGGTTTAGGGTTTAGGGTTTAGGGTTTAGGATTCAGGGTTTCGGATTTAGGGTTTAGGGTTTAGGGTTCTGGGTTTAAGGTTTAGG